ACTGAAGTGGAATACATGCACACCCTATGACCCAACAATTCTTCTTGGTAGAGACACATCAGAAACGTGTATGTATGTTTACCAAAAGATTTGTATAAGAACATTCATATCATTACTATTTTATGAGCCCAAAACTAGAAATAACCCAAATGCTCCACAGTAGAATGAATTATGGTATATTCATTTTTATGGTATATATATTTTACATGACAATGAGAATGAACGAACTAAAACTGCATACAAAAACGTAGATCTCAAAATAATTTTGAGAAGAAGAAGACACCAAAGAATACAATAGATAAATACAATAATACAGTTGAACAGGCAAAAGCAACTTGTGATGTTAGACGTCAGCATAGTGATTATTTCTCAAGAGAAAGGAGGTAGTAGTGATTGGGAAGGGACAAGAGGGAGGATTCTGTGATGCTGGCCATGTTCTATTTTTTGACCTTGGTGATGCTATACTGTAAAAATTCCTCAAGCTATACATTCATAATCTGTATACCTTTGTCCATGTAAGTTATATATCGATTAAAAAAAAAAGTACTTTAAAAAACTGAATAGATTCAGCAGATTAGACCAGCTGGTTATAAATTGTACGAGAGAACTTGAAAACAGTCATAATGCAGCACAGGCAGAGAAAATATAAGAGACATTAATAAAAGCACAGGATAAAGTAAAAAGGTCAATTGTAAATCTAACCGGAATTACAGAAGTCAAAATAGGGGAGAAGCAATATTTGAAGAGGTAATAGATGAGAATTTCCTAGAATCAACAGATACAAATCCCAGATTTAAAATGCACAATAGCTCTTTCCTTGCCTAACGCAGCCATGGCTCATGGTCCCAAGAAGCATCTGAAGCGGGTGGCAGCTCCAAAGCATTGGATGCTGGATAAATTGACCGGTGTGTTTGCTCCTCGTCCATCCACCAGTCCTCACAAGTTGAGAGAGTGTCTCCCCATCATCATTTTCCTAAGGAACAGACTTAAGTATGCCTTGACAGGAGATGAAGTAAAGAAGATTTGCATGCAGCGGTTCATTAAGATTGATGGCAAAGTCCGAACTGATATAACCTACCCTGCTGGTTTCATGGATGTCATCAGCATTGACAAGACGGGAGAGAATTTCCGTCTGATCTATGACACCAAGGGTCGCTTTGCTGTACATCGTATTAAACCTGAGGAGGCCAAGTACAAATTGTGCAAAGTACGAAAAATCTTTGTGGGCACAAAAGGTATCCCTCATCTGGTGACTCATGATGCTCGCACCATCCGCTACCCTGATCCCCTCATCAAGGTGAATGATACCATTCAGATTGATTTGGAGACTGGCAAGATTACTGATTTCATCAAGTTTGACACTGGTAACCTGTGTATGGTGACTGGGGGTGCTAACCTGGGAAGAATTGGTGTGATTACCAACAGAGAGAGGCACCCTGGATCTTTCGATGTGGTTCATGTGAAAGATGCCAATGGCAACAGCTTTGCCACTCGACTTTCCAATATTTTTGTTATTGGCAAGGGCAACAAACCATGGATTTCTCTTCCCCAAGGAAAGGGTATCCGCCTCACCATTGCTGAAGAGAGAGACAAAAGACTGGCAGCCAAACAGAGCAGTGGGTGAAATGGTCCCTGGGTGATATGTTAGATGTTTATGCATAATTAAAAATCATATGGCATGAAAAATAAAATAAAAATAAAATGCACAATAATCCTAAACAGGATAAATAAAATCATACTGAATAAAGTACTGCAGAATTCCAAAGAAAAAGAGAAAATCTTAAAGTTAGATGATGCACAAAGGAATAAAAATTAGACTGATTTTGTTTTATTTTGAAAAATTTCAAACTCAAAGAAAAGCCAAGAAGAATAATTCAATGAGTATACCCTGCAGATTATACCACTCACCAATGAAGACATGCACCAGAATATACTAACTAAATTTACACTGTTAACATTTTGGCTCATCCATTTAAAATTTTTCTGAACATAAGTCCTTCCCTTTTGGGTAAATATAGAAAGTATAGCACTATCAATAGCACTATTCTTCATCTGAAAATTCTTCTATTCAGCTACAACACCATTACTTCATCTAAGACAACATTAATCCAATAACATCATCTAAAAAGAGTCCAGATGAAATTTTCCCAGTGATATTAAAATTGTTCCCTAAAGCTTTTCTTTTTACTGATCCAGGATCTAATCAAGGCTTGTGCATTACTTTCAGATGGTATAGTTCTTAGGTCTCTCTCAATTTAGAGACTTTCCTTAACACACTACTTCCTTTGATTTTTGATGATACTGAATGCTTTGAAGAGTCCAGATCAGTAGTCATAAAAAAAGTTCCACATTCTGGATTAGTTGGACTGTTTCCTCATGATTCCTGGATCAAATGTTTACAGTAAAAACACCACATAAAGTAATGTTATGTCTCTCCTGTACACCACATTAGGCATGTGGCTGTCCCACTATTAGCAATACCAACCTTGGCCATTTTGTAATTTTTCCCTTTGCCATAAATAAGTCATCTGTAAGGTGATATTTTCAAACTCAAGGGTATTATCAATGACAATTACGGAAAGAAGACAGGAAGATACAAACTTCAAAGTGTTAAGAAAAAAATAACTATTAAAGCAGACCTATATGCCAATGAAAATATTACTGAAGAATGAACTCTAAATAAAATACATCCAGAAATTATTTTTAAATCCTGAAATCATCATTTCATGGTACAGTAAAAAAAAACTGATGAAAAACCAATACTACATTGCCAACTTTTCATTTGCCAAATAATGTAATAAAAAATTTCTGCTACTAACACCATGTTTTCAGAAAAGAAAGGACAATTCTAAGCCTCCAAAAAAGAAGATTTAATTTCAAAATAAATGAAGCTTCTCTAAAATGAATGAATTTTGCTTTGTGAACAGCATACTTTTTATTTTCTCATTTTGCTACATGTATTCATATTTTGTTAGAATTGATTAACAGTCCAAGGACAAGTGTTTAGAAATTACTAAGTCTAGCTATGAAAAGGGGAAAAGGCATTTTATTTCACCATTATGAGTAACTCGGTCTTCTTTTGTAACCACAGTAATTAGGATTATAAAATCCATTTTATAGTTAAAGAACATGAAGTATGAATTGTTAAAGAAGCATGCACAGCATCACAGAGATAGTAAGTGGCTCAGATTTAAACCAAGCCTGACCCTAAAGCGTATGTTCTTTCTACTCTGCCATAGTGACAAGCCCAACCACACAAGTATGAAATACCTAAAGGAGCTAAAGGCTGTCAAATGGCAGTTTAAAATGGCGTTTGTGACTGAATCTTCAGGAATTTGAGCAGGACTTTGACGCTGTGAATACGGAAAAGAACAACTTTCCTAACTCCATAAAAGCAATGGAAATCTACAGAAGTGATGTCTAGGCTGGAAAAACTAGAAAGATGTAGGTGTAAGGTAAAAAACACCAGATACATAACCTTACGTGCCAACTAACAGCTATAAATACAAATGTATACAATAGAAAAAAAACTACTAATACATGTAAAAACATATGAATCTCAACAAGATTATAACAATTTTAAAAAATCTCACAAACAGCACATATTACTAGACTCCATTTATATAAAGCACTAAAAACAGGAAAATAAACCAAAAACTTAAAAAACAGCAGATCAAGGACTGTGAGAGTGGGGATTGACTGAGAAAGGGAATGAGGTAACTTTCCAGGATGGTGGGTTTGGGTTATACAAGTATATGCATTTATCAAGGTTTGTACATTTCATTAATTAAATCGCAACAGAAAAAAGTCTACAAACAGTATGAATGCAGCAGGTTAATCATACATATACTTAAGCATATATGGGAAAATATAATAATGACTGCAATTTACTTTGAAATGAGTGAAATTAATAAAATGGACTGATGGACTAGAAGGATAGAGGGATGGATTAATAGATAAATACGTGATAACATGTACCCCAAAACCTAAAATGCAATAAAAAAAAAATAGATAAATACGTGATAGACCAAGCATGGCAAAATGTTAATAATAAACTGTGGGTATGAGTTACTGCAAGCACTTACTCTAACATTCTTTCAACTTTGTTGTATGTTTTTTCAAATTGTTCATAATAAAATGTTGAAGAGAAAGTATATGATATATGTGACCAAGACACCAAGACAATGCTATTCTTAAAAATATAGAAAACCACATAATGACCCAATTGGATGGAAGAGATCATGTAACTATTACAAAGTTTGAAAAAAGTAAAGAAATACAGACAGTAGTATAAGGTACTCGTAAGACACACCCAGAAGTTACTAATCTAAAGTGGAAAATAAAATGAATAAAAATGCAGTGGATGGGTGCAGTTGCTCACGGCTATAATCCCAGCACTTTGAGAGGCAAGGCAGAAGGATCACTTGAGCTCAGGAGTTCAAGATCAGCCTGGAGAATATAGTGAAACCCCATCTTTAAAACAAAACAAAACAAAAATTAATCCAGTGTGGTGGCGTAGACCCTATAGTCCCAGCTACACAGGAGGCTGAGGTGGCAGAATCGCTGAAACCCAAGAGACAGAGATTACAGTGAGCCAAGATTGTGCCACTGTACTCCAGCCTGGGTGAAAGGGCAAAGTCTTAAAAAAAAAATCCTTCTGGTAACAGACAAAAAACCAAAACATGATGGAAATTAGTTGAATAACTTTCATGTGAAAGCAATACATTCTAAAAACTGTCAATATATCAGATGCTGAGAATATCTGCTAACTGAAATAATTAACATAACTGAACATACTTTCTCTTAAGAAATCACAATTGGTTCAAAATTTTTCAACATGAAGTTTCAGTCAACCATAGTAAATGAATAAAGCTAACTTAGTCACAATTCTACTAAAGAAAGACTGAATATGAGAAAAAGATGGTTCAAATAGAACTTTGTTTTTAATACAATTGTCAGGAATTTAACATTTTTAGCATGTCTTAAAAGGAGAACTTTACCTGCCATTTCTTTGGAGAGCAAAAATGATGCCATCTTTCTGGAATGGAAGCAGCTTTGCTCTTAGTCTGTCAGGCAAAAAATCCAGCAGTTTATCAGAGTCACTTGTCAAACAAGAGATCTGAGGTGTAAGAGACTTTATTATGTTATGAACCCTAGGCATGATGATCCTAAAAACAAACCACAAAAAAAGGGAGGGGTGGAAGAAATAGATATTACTAAATATGTTACAGAATCACAAACGAATAATATTAAAGCACTTATAAATAGCCTTGACATACCATTTATATAAACTAAATCATATTGTCACAGTAAGCTACCAAGAAAACTCAAGGCTCTGAGTACAAAAGCAATTACTTAATGCACTCTCTAGGAATTCAGTATGCTCTATTTCTTTTTGAGCCATAATACAGCCATACACCAGCTTAATGCAACAAATGTATTAAAAATTATAAATAAAATTTTTCACAAATTGAATAATTTTTTAAAATAAGGGATGAGTCTGCTACAGAAAGATGAGTTCTTTAATAATATATCCTTCATGGATGCACATTTTCGTATCACACCAGATTTTCTAAAAGTGAGGTAGAGTAGCATTTAAAAAATTATAAAATACAAAGACATTAACTCCAAATTCAAACATACAACAATTAAATTAATGCAACATTGTTAAATTAAATTGATTTTTAAATATTAAAATTAATTCTTGTTAATGAGCTGAATCTGCAGTATGACACTCTGCCTGATTAACACCCTCCTCACCCCTTGGTTTTCCACAGATGTTATTTTAATTTTCTACCACATAAAAAATTCATGTATCTGTAAATTCTCGTAACTCTGGAAGCAAATGTCATACCACTATACTATAATGCCTCTCAAATAACAATATTTTGTATTTAGATGGTACCTTGCCTTCTCTTTATATATTATCTCATTTCATCTTTAAAAATAAGTTTTCTTTTTTCCTCAATTACTTCCATCCACAAAAGTAACCAACTTCTGTGTCTACTAAGAAGGTCAAGAATAAAGCAAGTATTTATTTATTAATAACAAATAGGTACTACATGCCACAATCTAGAGAAGCAAGACCCACATATTCACAGGGCTTCTATTCTTCAGGGAAAGACTAAAAATTACCAAATAAATAAATATGATAATTTTTCTTTTTTTTTTTTTAGCTACGCCTGCTTGAATTGGAAGGATGATTAATTAAAAATTAGCACTAATATTATTAAGAGAGTACTGGCCACTTTAGGTAGGCTGACCAACAGTGGCCTGTCTTAGGAAGAGCTATTTGGTCTATGGTCTGAAAGACGTAAAGGCCACCGGAATCAAAATTAAGAGAAGAGCAGTCCAGGCAGAGAGCATCAATGCAAAGGACCTGAGTTGAAAAGGGCTTGGTGTTTTCAGAAAACAGAAAGAAGGCTAACATGGACCAGGCACAGTGGCTCATGCCTATCATGGGAGGCACTTTGGGAGGCTGAGATGGGTGGATCACATGAGGTCAGGAGTTCAAGACCAGCCTGGACAACATAGCAAAATACTGTCTCTACTAAAAATAACGAAAATTAGCTGGGTATGGTGGCGCATGCCTGCAATCCCAGCTACTCAGGAGGCTGGGGCATGAGAATCGCTTGAACTTGGGAAGCAGAAGATTGCACTACTGCATACTCCAGCTTGGGCAATAGAGCAAGACCGTCAAAAAAAAAAAAAAAAAAAAAAAAAGGCCAATGTGGCCAATCCAAAGGAAGGAACAGTAAAAGATGAAGCTACCAAGATAAACAAGAGCCAAATCATATACAGCCTTGATAATAACTTTGGATTCCATTTTAAGAAGGAAGGAATGCTAATGGAGTTGTGTTGTCCCATACACCATTAGGCAAATGTGGCTACTGAAATTTAATTAAAATTAAAATTAAAAATTCAGTTCTCCAGTTTCACCAGCCATGTTTCAAGGGCTCAACAGTCACATATAGCTGGTAGCTACAATATTGAATAGTAAAGATACAGAACATTTCTCTCCTCACTAAAAGTTCTATTGGACAGTACTCAATGGAAGGTTTAAACAGGGGAATGACACAATTTGCCTTACAGTTCAAAAATCACCAGAAGGAGACAAAGATATCAATAAGGAGGTAGGAGACAAATGTTCTTCTAGGATTTGATCAGTCAACAAAGCCTCCACTGCTTCAGTAGGCAATTGAATTTAGAAATGATTTATAAGTCAGTTCTGTCTGAATAAGGTCTTCATAAACACTCATGGATGGTCCTCCCTAAGACCCTCTCAACACCACCACCCTCATATCAAAACGTAGCAAGGAATAGAGAATGGAGCGAAAAGGGAAAGCATGGAAACAGAAAAACTTTTCAAGTTGCAACAGACAAGGCAAAAAAATCTTTAGCAGTGAAACTGAAAAGATTCAGGAAATATATCAGAGGTAAAGCAAATAGGACTTGCTGATGAAGTACATACAGAGAACAAGAGAAATGTAGAATCAAAATGTGGACCTAGAGAGATGTAGTTAGTAATGCAATTGGCTGAGATAGTGAGAACTACGGAAGAAATAAACTAGAAAGAAAAAAAATCAATAGATCTTCTAGAAATATGTAAAGTTTGAGATGGCTATAAGATAAGAAGTGGAAATGTCAGATATGTTAAAAAATATGAGTCTGAAGCTCCTATAGGGAGGGATAGAGGCTGGATACATATGAGAAATATTAGACACTTTCCCAGCCTGCCTTACAGCTACTGAATTTCCTAATCGGATATACCCACTGTGGACTTTAGAAAGTCAAAACTCAAAGGAGCAGAGATTAAGTAAAATTCATTCTGGCAAGGCTAACAGCAGCAGAAAACCATGCCCACTTTCCAGAAGTTAACAGGAGTTTCAGAAGCACTTTTCAGGGTCAATGGGATAAAGGCTACCATGTTTTAGGGTGGAACACTGGTAAGAAGTAAAAAATTTTAAAAACAACCAACTTTGCTTATATCATCTTTGTTCAAGACTCCTTTTTTTTCTTTGCTAGATTCAGTGGCTCACGCCTGTAATCACAACACTTAGGGAGGTTGAGGCAGGAGGACAGCTAGAGGCCAGGAGCTGAAGATCAGCCAGGGCAACATAGCAAGATCCTGTTGCTTACAAAAGATTATAAAATCAGCTGGGTTGTGGCAGTGCATGCCTATAGTCCCAATTACTTGGGAGGCTTGAGAGGATTGCTTGAGCCCAGAAATTTGAGCTATGATGGTGTCACTGCACTCTAGCCTGGAAGACAGAGTGAGACTCTATCTTGAAAGAAAAAGAGAAAGAGACAGAGAGAGACAAACAAAACAAAACGACTCCTTTTTATTTTACTTAGTAAAAAATTTTGATAGACACTCCAAAAAGAATCTGGTAAATTGGGGTCACTTTTCCACTTACATGATTTATTTTTATGAGGACTGACTTGGGCACAATAGTTGTAAAAATAAACAATGAAACTAAAGCTATGTTAATCAGAAATTTGTTTTAATAGTCACAAATAAGAGAAGAATCTTGTTCAGTTGAACAAGATTATGGTGTAGCTCATTGATGATTTAAACAGATATTTGGATACATAAAGAACTTAAAAATATGTAGGGGGTGCTGAGCACAGTGGCTCATGCCTGTGATCCCAGCACTTTGGGCGGCTAAGGCAGGCAGATCACAAGTCCAAGAGTTCAAGACTAGCCTGGCAAATATGGTGAAACCCCATCTCTACTAAAAATACAAAAATTAGCCAGGCATGGTGATGAGCAGCTGTAGTCCCAGCTACTGGGGAGGTTGAGGCAGGAGAATCCCTTGAACCCAGGAGGCAGCAGTTACAGTAAGCCAAAATTGCGCCACTGCACTCCAGGCTGGGCAACAGAGCAAGACTCCATCTCAAGAAAAAAAAAAATTATATATATGTATATAATAAACAGAACATGAATGTTTTCATTAATTCTGAAAATAATTTTCTTTTCAATTTATAGGATTTAAAGTAAAAAAGATGTATAAAGAATATCTCATATAGGTTCAGCCATATAGGTTTAAGGGCCATGAAAAGTCACTTGTAACCAACATTTCATTAATAAAAGATGCAGATTTCATCTTTTTAAATTGCCAAAAAATTAAGTTACAATAATTTGTATACCTCTCTAACCATGAACACTGTATTCAGTTCAGAGGTTTATTTTTTATTTTTTTTAAAGAAAGACAAAAAAAAAGGAGTGAAGGAGAGGAAGAAAGAGGAAGAAAAAGAGGGAGAGAAAAAGGGAATGTAGCTTTATTCTAAAAATGGGTATTAATAAGGGCCGATCAATATTTTGTGTATTTAAGGTGGAGAATGTATATTTTGTATATTTAAAATGGAGAGCTCTATAAATATTTATTGAGTTTACTTGTTCCAGATCTGAGTTCAAGTCCTGGATATCCTTATTAATTTTCTGTCTCGTTGAGTCTAAATCTCTTTATGAGTCTTATGTATCTGGGTGTTAGGATTGTTAGCTCTTATTGTTGCATTGATCCTTTTACCACTATATCTTTGTTGCTTTGAAATCTATTTTATCAGATACGAGAATTGCAACTCCTGCTTTTTATTTATTCATTTATTTTTGCTCTCCATTTGGTTGGTAAATCTTTCTTCATCCCTTTGTTTTAAGTCTTCGTGTATCTTCGGATGTGAAATGGGTCTGGATGTAGCATATCGTTAAGTTTTGGCTGTATCTTTTGATTGGGGGATTTAGTCGACTTAAATTTAGGGTTACTGCCATTTGATGTTAACTGGCTATTTTATCCATTTGTTGATGTAAATTCTTCTTTATGTTGATGCTCTTTACTTTTTGGTATATTTTTAGAAAGGCTAATACTGGTTGTTCCTTTCTATGTATAATGCTTCTTTCAGAAGCTCTTGTAAAGCAGGCCTGGTGGTAATAAAATCTCTGAGTACTTGCTTGTTCATAAAAGATTTTATTTTTCCTTCAGTTGTGAAGCTTAGTTTGGCTGGATATGAAATTCTGGGCTGAAAGTTCTGTTCTTTAAGGATGTTGAATATTGACCCCCACTCTCTTCTGGCTTGTAGAGTTTCTGCTGAGAGATCTGCTTTAAGTCTGATAGGCTTCCCTTTGTGGGTAACCTGACCTTTCTCTCTGGCTGCCCTTAGCATTTTTTCC